AACAATGGGTGTCATCCGGTCGGCAACTGTTTAAGGTGTCGTCCAGTGGGCTAAAGTGGTAGTTTCAAACTTTTGGGATCCACCATTCTGGGGATTTTTTTTTGACAATATACTTACGTTTCTTGGCGCAATGTTCATTCCACCCAGCCGGTCGTCAATGCGTTAGTTGACCCAAATGACGATTGACCTGAAGGAAGTTGGGGGCGAGGAACACGCACGTGCCATCCGTTTTTTAATCGGGCGCTTTCATCTAGGAGATTTTTGCAGATATCTTTTTGATTTGTGAAAATGACTAGCCTAGCGGTATGCCAGTCGTTGATAAATTATTATCTTGCTGCGGCCGGGCGCTTATTTGCGGTGTTTGCGTTTGGCGGCTGGCGGGCGACTTTTAGTCGTTTTCGGTTAGCAGTTAGCGTCGGTACGGTGCGGGCGGTTTTATTTTTTCGGCGTTTCGGCGTTTTTTTCTGTGTGGTTTGCGGCGGTCGGGCGATTTTTTTGCCGTTTGCGTTGGCTTTTCGGGCGTGCGTTTTACACGTTTTGCGGTGTTTACGTTTTGCGGCGGGCGGGCATTTTGTGTTTTTTGCGGTTTTTGTCTTTGGCGGCGGGCCGGCGATGCGGGCGGTTTTCTTTTTTTTTGCGTCGTTTGCGATGTTAAATTTGTTTGCGGTTGGCGGCCGCTTTTTCGTTTTTTTTTTGCGGTGTTTTTTTTTGGCGGCGGGCGAGCGATTTTTAGGCGTTTTCGGTTGGCGGTTAGCGGGCAGGCGATGCGGGCGGTTTTATTGTTTTGCGGCGTTTCTGCGTTTTTTTTTTATTTGCGGTTTGCGGCGGGCGGGCGTTTGTTTATTTTTTGCGACCTTTGCGTTGGCGTTTCGGGCGTGCGTTTTGCGCGTTTTGCGGTGTTTGCGTTTTGCGGCGGGCGGGCTTTTTTCACAATTCAAAGTTCAAACCTTCGGGCCACAGCGCTCCTCGAAAAGCGCTGCCCTCGAGTATACCGTGAGACAAAATTATATTGTTTTAGCGTTTCCATAAACAATATAGGTACTTTTGGCTCAATGTATTTTTTTTTTTTTAAAGAGGGAAGGGTCGCGATAAAACAAATATATAATTCTAAATTATCAGGCGATTTCTAATGCCTTAACTTTTGTACCTTTCAAAATGCAAGCTTATTATCACCGTCTCTAGAAGATCTAAGAATCAAATATTCCGTAGATAACGTAGCCTCGCAACAAAAATTATATGACCGCCCGACGTAACCACGTCGTTGTTGTCATGCTCCAGCTGAGAGGTCACGTGACCATGACGGCACGTGCCCAGATCATCTGGGTTTTTATTTTATTTTTTATTTTATTTATTTATTTTTCAAAACATCCACGGGCATGGGCACCCATTGATGGACGTAGTCCCATATACCTACATATTACACACACACACGCACACATACACACACATACACGGATGGAAAATATCAAGCAGACCTAGGTTCGTTAAAAGTATGAGAAAAAGCTGCAGTTCACATCTCCCCGTTCTATCTAATGTGCACAGGGCTGCCTCGAGCGGACATACGCTGCTACTCGTTTCTTATACTGTAGCTGGCTATGTTGCCACACATCGACGTCACGGTTTGCGTCCAGAAACATATTGCTGAGCATCGGTATGCGATTGAACAGGCTGTTTTTGACGGTGTTCACCCTAGCGTAAGACACGTGAAAAGTGCTCCAGTTGCGAAGCAGCCGAGTGGGAGCAGCCAAAGGGAATTGAGCCAGAAGAAACGGGGAGTCGATGGCGTGGCGGTGAATGTTACGAATGAACATTGCATCGTGCTGCTCGCGCCTTGCTGCCAGCGTGCTCATGCCGAAAAACTGGATCAAGTCGTTGTACTCGAGCGCTGTATCTGTGACACGGCACCGTGCGCAGAGCCAAATGAGGAATTTGTGTTGGATGCGCTCTATCCTCTTCATGTGAGTTTCGGCTGCGCCTCCCCAAATCACGCTGCAAAATTCTAGTATAGAGCGCACGTTTGCACAGAAGGTGCCTATGATTGGTTTTCTCATTGACTTGTCAAATGTATGGCCGCACTTTCCGGTCTGAAACGTTCGAATAAGAAGCCCTAGAGCTCTGTTAGCACGGTGCACCACGGCGTCAACATGTTCAGCGAACGTCAGCTTCTCATCTATGAGCACGCCAAGATCGCGCATGACTCTCACTCGCTCCAGCTCGACTCCGTCTATCGTGTAGGCGCTGGAGACCGGCTGACGCCTCAATGTCAGGGTGAGCACCTTGCATTTAGCCGCATTGAGCGTCAGGCCCCATTTTGCAGACCACCGGCACAAAGAGTCGATCTGGCGCTGTATGAACTGTACATCTGCGTCGCTGTCTACCTTCCCGTACATCTTCACGTCGTCCGCAAACATGAGTGCGTTCGCCTCTACGTACTCCGGTAGGTCATTAATGAAACACGCAAAGAGCAATGGTGAGAGAATCCCGCCTTCGGGTGTTCCCGACGTTACCGGCGCCCACTCCGAGCACTTGCCCTTCACAACCACCCGCTGCCGCCTCCCAGACAGATACGATTCACACCAATCGAAAGCTTTGTCCGAAATATGGAAAGAATGCTTTAGTTTGTGAAGAAGCAGCTTATGATTAACGCTTTGGAAGGCCGCGGAAAAATCGGTGTAAATCACATCCGTCTGAGAGCCAGCAGAGATGCTGCTCCAGGCAGCGTGCAGCATCGTAGCTAAGTTGGTGACGCATGAACGATGAGGCATGAATCCGTGCTGTTTCTCCGAGAGAACGGGTTTCACATGTTTATACAGCGTGTTAAAAACGACGCGCTCCAGAACCTTGCTAAAAAGAGGTAAAAGTGACACGGACCGGTAGTTAAAAGGCAACGCCTTCGAACCCTTTTTGTGGATCGCCACAATGTTGCCGCGCTTCCAAGCTGCTGGGAACACACCTTGTTCCAGCGACAACCGGCACAGCTTGGTTACAGGGACCGTCAGCTCAACGGCACATTCGCTAATAATACGCGCGCTTACATTGTCCGGTCCACACGCTTTGTGCTGATTGATGCTACAAAGGATTCCACGGACAAGTTCCTCCGAGACATAGAATGAGCACAGTGGGTCAAGCGCGTGATCCGGAGCCGACGGCAGCACGGCAACAGCGGGATCAGAGAATTTGCTGGAGAACATGCGGTTCAATACATCAGCTTTCTCGCGGTCATCCACAATCCTACGACCATGATCGACAAGGTGCGACATTCCGTTGCCGTGACCTTGGCCTATGGCGTGACGCCGTAGGGCCGGGGGCCGCGGGAGAAGGGGGAGGGTCGTGAAAGGCTGCTCTCCTGCAGGGTATTTGGCTCGCTTGGAGTCTGAGGTAGCAGGGAGGGACTGGGGAAGCTCCGGTACGAAGCTACTCCCGAGAGGCGGACTGCCGGAGCTCTCGTAAATGTGGTTAGAAGATCCTGAACTTGTCGAATGCTTTCAATAGAATAAAACAAGAGAGAGAGAGAGAGAGAGAGAGAGAGAGAGAGAGAGAGAGAGAGAGAGAGAGAGAGAGAGAGAGGAGAGAGAGAAAAAGAGAGGGAGAGGGAGAGAGAGGGGAGAGAGAGAAAGAGAGGGAGAGGGAGAGAAAGAAACAGACAGACAGACAGACAGACATCGGAGCAGCATTTGTTTAATATGTTTAAAAAATTTCTCTATCAGTAGTGTAATGAAAAAATTATCTATCATAATTATCTATCAGTAGTGTAAAAAAAATTATCTCTTTTCTCATTCGTCTTCCTTCGACAATTCACAAAATCCCTTATTTCACACCCCACTCCCTCCCCCGCCTGTCTGAGGTCACCTATAGCCTTGACCCCGTGACCTTGACGTCACTGCAACACTGCAGCGCTGATGCACCCCATCCAGCTGTTCGTCTGGCCAATATCCATTACCCATGGAACGGCACCCAGTCGCTGTGAGTAGCGCGGCGGTCAGTTGGCCATCCGCTGCACACTGCACACTGCACAGGGAATGATAGGTCTCCCCGCCGCGAAAAGTGAACTTAATTTCCCGATTTCCGGTAACGTCCAGGCTGCGGTATAAGTGTATATGAGTGCATTTATTTTATTCTTATTTGCAATTATTTGATTTAGTCTGCATTTTTATATCTTTTAATTTCCAGTAAGTAGCACAAAATCGTTCCCCATTCTGTTTTGCTGTTGAATGTAAGAAATAAAAGATACCGCATTGTCTTTACTATGCTAAGCAATTATCAAAAGTTACGAACTTGAGCTGCCGGTATCAAAGAAGCAGAGCCCAAAAGTGACAGTTTTATACCGTTTTGTGAATAATTAACGCAGTTCCTAAAATAGCACAGACATAAATTACAATACAAATAGAAAGTAATTTTCCTCAAACAATACGCCATTGGTGAGACTTGGAAGGTTATGTCGGCGTGAACACCTCTGTTTGAACTCAAAGGCGTGACAAACTGGTTACTCTAATAAAACGGGGGCGTTTTCTGCCAACCGAGTTTGGGAGACAGCTCAGTACTCGAGAGAAGACGATTCTCCAACTCACGGCGGCTGAGCTGAGTGTCTCCCTACGTCTTTCGAATGCTCGCTGCTCAGTGGCCACAACTGATTGATCATGACTTATTAGAGAAAGAAACGTCAAAAAAGGCTAACTTGTTTGAAGAATAAAACGACTAAACTCCCAGCATCTCTCGACACCCTTTCCCGTCCTCGTTCCAGATAGTCCAGCCACTACCAGCTCGCTCAGAGGCCCCGTGGCCGCGCCAGGCCGCGCACAGTCCGACCGTTTGGCCGCGGACGGCACAAAAAGTGGCGACAGTGCGCCGTCCGTCTGCCGCGCCGGGTCACTGACCGATCTGCAGCCGGTCACAGACCAGACCGTGACCGATCTGACACCAGCGGCCTGACGGTTAGCTTAGCACTGGTTGGCGAAGATCACCGGCAGTCATCAAAGCCACCGAAGGTCACTAACACTCACCGCAAGTCACCTAAGGTCACTGATGGTCACTGTCAGTCGCAACAAATCACTAACGATCACCAATGCTCACTGACGGACACCAACAATCACCGGCTATCCCCAAAGACCACCGACTGGACACCAACGATCACCAACGCTCACCGACTGTCACAGACGGTCACCGACTGACCACCGACGTCGTCGCGACCCATTTCCGTCGGCTACGAGCGCGGTCTGACCACTACACTGACCAGCCGGTGGGCGTGGCGCTGCCCGACCGACTTTTGATCAGTGGTCTGTCCGTCATAGGTACGACAGATGGCTGGTATCGAGCGGATGACAGGCACATACCGGAGCCTGGCCGACTGACGGGACTGCGAGGACTGGGGAAAAGAGGGGCGACAGGTGGAACAGACAAACGGAGAGGGTGGATAGGAGGGGCAGACTGACCAACGGACGGTGAGACTGGCGGGCCAGACAAACTGATTGACCGTATAGGCAAGAAGACGGATGGACTCTATATGTGACACATTCTGATACCTGAGTGAATGGGTGGCTGACTGGCTGTCCCACGCAGTCAGACCGACTAGATAGGTGGAACAGACTGACCGACTGAAAGACAGACAGAATTGAGAGACAGGCGAGCAGCACTTTCGCAGCGATATGGAGTGACGGTCAGACTGTGTTATAAAAGTCAGACTGGCGTAACAGACGGTTAGACTGGCGTAACAGACGGTCAGACAGTCTGACGGTCACATTCTCCGTCTCTCTCCGACGGTCGCCGGACGAGCGATGACGTCACTACCGAGCGGAACTCTGCGGTCGAAGTCACCGGAAGATGAGGAGAGCATACCGGAAGCCGCTCGGTGCGGTATCTGAATTAGAACGTGCTCCCGTTCGCTACGTGGGTCGATACGACCCGAGGAGTGGAATAAAATGAATCTGATGCTACTTACTTTCACTCATTTCCCGTCATTATTGTCCCCATTTTCTGACATCATGCCTATAACGGTGCAATGTTGCATTTCATCCGGGCAAATGTGGACAAAAATGAATGAAATAATTTCAAGGCAGAAGAAATGAAGAACGTTTAGGTTTAGGCGTTTAGCCTAACCCGCGCCCTGGTGTGGGTCTGAGCCACCTTCGCCCTGGTGGGGGGGGGCCAAAATGACCCCCCCCGTCTAACTCGAAAACGAAGAGGGCTAGGAAGACGCGGAAAAAAGCAAACGAAAGCCCATAACAAGTACGTTCGAAAGTATTTCGGTCATTTTTTCGCTAAGGTCAATATTGAGGTCGCTAGAGGTCATCATAGGTCAAATTTCAGTGTTTTCGGTGTTGCCGGACATATTCCGCTGTAGCTCGGAAACTAGAAGAGCTAGAGAGCCGCGGAAAAAAGCAATCGATAGCTCTTTTCAAGCTCTTTCGCCAAGGTTCGTCAGATTTGACCTCAGCTCAACGGTTTGGCCTACAGAGGTCATGCAAGGTCAACTTGGCAAATTTTGTTGAAAATGTTTTTAACTATAGCATGCATTCACGAGAAAATAGAGAAACGATTCATGCACCATCGTGCTTGGCTCGTCGAGACGCGTCGAATGATATATAGCTTGACCTCGAAAGGTCATTTTGAAAATTTGACCTCAGGTCAAGGTCATGACCTTACCGAAATAGGTCATGCTGCATATCATTCGATCCGCATTGACGATACAAACACGATAAACGTCGAACGGAGTCTCTATCTCTATTCAATAACAAGTAAGTGCAGAAAAACCGCTGGTGACCTCTGGTGACCAGGGAGATGACCTAGCGTGACCTCAGCGAGGTCACAAGCAAATGGTTTCACATGGGCTGTGATTTGCTGACCCAAGACACTTCAATAACGAAATATAGGATCAATCACGCCCGATTTAGCTGAAAAACAACTACTTTTCGATTCTCCCATTGACTTATAATGGGGAGCAGCGATGACCTGACCTGACCTTAGGTCACATTTATAAAAAATCCGAGATAGCCATTTTGTAGAGCTGGGTGACATCTTCAAGTACTGTAAATTTTACATCGATCGGATAAAAGCTGTGCCTTTGAGAGAGCTTTGAACTTTTTTAGAGGTGGTGTCAGTTTTGGTGACCTTGTGACCTGACCTGACCTGACCCGAACCCCCCAAAACAGGACATGATGTAAAAATGTTGAATAAACAGCTATACAAAGTTTCAGGGCGCTAACTCAAGTGGTTTCTGAGTTATCGCTGAAAAACCACAGGGGGGGGGCCAAAATGGCCCCCCCCCCCACCAGGGCGAAGGCTAATGTTCGAGTACCTATCTAGCTGAATACTTCTTTTTCTCGAGCATTTCCAGCATCACCTAACCAGTCACTAAACTTGCTTCCCCTTCTCTCAGCCTTCCTTTGCAATTGCCTGTGGCTTCGCTCAGCTCACTCTCCCCTCCCCTCTGCCGCTATTCATATGCACCTGCCGGATCCCGCTGTATTGGACGTGACTCGGCTCCTTTCACCGTTCATTGCATCGCCTACGCGATCGGAGCATAGGCGGCGGAACGGGGGGGGCACCGGGGCACCGTGCCCCCCCCTTGGATTCTGCAAGGGGGGCACCAATAGCAAGGTGCCCCCCCTTAAATTTGATGTATTAGTACCAGGGGCGGATTCGGGAAAACTCGGGAAATTCGGGAAAGGGGAGGTTCATGAATCGAAGTGGTGCCCCTACCTAGTACCTATGCCCAAAATTAAAACCTCAACGGATTTCGCCCACTTAATTTTGGTGGTGCCCTATTTTCAGTTTTTTTTTTGCTTTATTTTTGGTTAGTCATGTGATGACTGGTGCCCCTGCTAAGCCGCTGGTGCCCCTGGAAAGACTGTGGTACCTACCTACCCTGCCCCCTGACAAGCCTACGGTGGGCCCTGACATGACTTAGGTGCCCATGGGCCCTGACAGGCCCGTGGTGCCCCTGACAGGCCTGTGGTGTCCTTGCTAGGCATGTGGTGTCCCTGGGCCTTGGCAGGTTTGTGGTGCCCCTGTTAGAACGTAGGTGCCCTTGACAGGTTTGTGGTGCCTCTGACAATCCTAAATTGCCAACGACAGGCTTGTGGTGCCCTTGACAGGCCCATGGTGCCCTTGAGAAGCCGGTGGTTCCCCTGCGAAGCCGATAGTGTCCCTGACAGGCCTCTGGTGCCCCTGGCAGGTCTGTGGTGCCCCTGGAAGACCTGTAGTGCTTTTGCTAGGCCGATGGTGCTCCTGACAGGCCTGTGGTGCCACTGACAGGCCCGTGGTGCCCCTGCTAGGCCTTTGGCACCCCTGGCGGGCCTGTGGTGCCCCTGTCGGCTGTCAGGCCTGTGGTGCTCCTGGCAGGCATGTGGTGACCCCAGGCCCTAAGTCATGACACATGTGACCTCCACCCTGGGATTCGCCACTGATTAGTACTGCGATGGCTTCTTGGGAATTATACATGTAGGATAAATGGAATTTATCAAACGACAATAAGGAAGAGACAAACACATAGGTACTTGAGGATCAGCTTAAAGTTAACCACACATACGGGCAGGGGTGTAATTTTCCTAAAATGATTGTGGGTGCCCAGCTGTAGGGGCGCCCGGCGCCAGGCCGTTTTGGGGCGCGATAGATATTCTTTATGTGGGAGCCTAAATTAACACCGAATTTGATAACATTGCTAGCCGAATGGCGCTTCAAGTGACGTGTCTGACTAAGCAAATACACGCTTAAAAGTGGAAACTGACCGGAAGGACGTAAAAAATATGTAGAGAGGCGCCATCCAGTAGGAGGGGCACCAAATGTGGAGGCGCCAGACGGTTACGACTTACGAGGGCGCCGTGAGACGATGAAAAGGGCGCCATTCTCTTAGGAGGGCGCCGAGTGATTGAAAACGCTATGTGGTCTAGGGGCGCTAAGAGGCCAGAAGGGCGCCGCACAGTCAGTAGTGCTACGTTGGTGGGGACGTGGGGGCGCCAGATGGTTACGAGGGCGCCTTGAGATCATGAAAAGGGCGCCATTCTCGTAAAAGGGTGCCGAGTGATTGAAAACGCTATATGTGGTTCAGGGGCGCTGAGAGGCCAGAAGGGCGCCGAATAGTCGAGGGATGCACGGTGAACAGAGACCTAAGGACGCGAGACGGTCAGGAGGGCGCCGTTAGACCATGAGAATGGCGCGGTGCTGTCAAAAGTGCGCCATTCTCCCAGAAGGGCGCCGAGTGATGATTAAAAACGCTATCCATGCTCGGGGTTACATGAGCAGAGTTAATACGCATTACAAACGGACTACAATGGTGAGCGAATAGGAAAATCCGTTCCTGATACGCATTTACTTGCTCATGTAACCCCGGTACATGAACGCGAGACGGTTAGGAGGACGCCGTTAGAGCATGCGAAGGGCACCGTGCTCTCGAAAGGACGCTTGCAGCCTTGTAAAAGACTTGTGGGTGCTTTTTCATCATTGTGGGGGCATAATTCAGGATTGTGGGTGCATATGCCCCCACAAAGAGATATAAAATTAGGTACACCCCTGCATACGGGGGTGAACTGCAATTTTCGTTTAGTAAAAAAAAAAAAAATCATCGTGTCAGGGCTGTGACGAAAAATAAGTGGCCTAAATCCGATGAGAAAACAGGATTTGGGGGTACCCTAGGTTTGGCTCCTTGAGCCATGGTGCCCCCCCTTGTCTCAAATCGTTCCGCCGCCTATGGATCGGAGACGGGCACCCAACATCGTGTTTCAAAAGTTGCTCGCGACTCGCTAGGCATTAGTACCTATTTGGGAATCGTCGATAATTTGTATTCCTACACCAAAAAAACAAAAACAAAAAAACTTGTCTATAGGCATAAAACAACTCAAACAATAAATGCTTGCCAATTATTTAAGTAAAATCACTAATTGGAAAATATTACGTTCGGTTGTTCATACTTCATTTATTTTCATGAACTGTCTTTAGTGCAATCATAATCAAATGCACGAATTTTACCCAAAAAAAAAAAAATGACATGCACTTTATCCTCCCCTCAACCACCCACCCCGCGGGTTCGAATTGAGGTCATAGCTCGGAATGCACCGCGTATGAGCCGTGTATTGATTTTACGGAGACACAAAGGGGCACGCCCACTCTGGAATGCGGGTCAATAGGTCATCCCTTGCCGTGTGAGCTGACACCGCCAACCGTCGCGTGACCCGCCCCGCGACCCCACGGCGGCGAGCGGGCACAGGGATTTCCCTACCTGAGATCATCAGAGCCTCTCTGGCTCCCTCTACAATTAGCAACCCCCGGTGCCCGCAATACTTCCCGTCCCGACTTCGACCCAGCCCCGATGGGAGGGGCTCAGCAGCTCACCTGTGTGTTTGGAGGGCGGTGGTCACGTGCTGGCACCCGGCGTCCGACGGGCACCTCCCCTTCTCTGTGCAGGCGCGGCCGGTGTCGTGACTAACCCCACGGCTTGGTGCTCCGGCGAACCGCACCCCTCTGCCGCTACTGCCATCTAGGGACAGATGGCGCTACCTGTACTATTGCCGGCGTTGATGCGATTTTATTAGAAAAAATCCTTCATAGAGTTGTGGTGCTACCATATCCCAAAGCTACCATATCCTGACATAAATGGCGATGATGAGACAAACATTTGTTTGCGAAACGCGCGTGAGTGTTTTGTTTTGCGGTAAGCTGGGGTGTATTGGTGTATTGGTGTATTAATTTCCTTTTTGCTACTATTTTGCTTTGATAAGCTGCCTTCAAGATTGTTTCGAACGCTTATAGGTATTGTATAAATTTTGTTTCAGTTGAATTACGATCTTACGAGCCTGTCCCGTAGCTCAGTTGGTAGAGCATTGGACTCCCGGTGGTGAGAGCCCGGGTTCGAGACGCTCCGGCGCTCGATATTTGAGAGTTGAGACTCCTGACGGGGATGGTCTGCGGTTGGTGGGAGCAGCCGCAGTCAGTTGAAGTCAGTTGAGTGGGACAGGCCGTGTCTTTGAAGGGCACGTTAAACTTTGGCATCCAAATTCTCCCGTTACCCGGAATTGCGCGATCGGACGGTAGGGGTCGGGGTCTACGCAACAAGCTCTGCTTAGCGTGGGCTCCGGCTCTGTCAATCCGTCCATTCAAACATTCGAACTAAATTTATAAAAAAAAATCTTACCCCTGAGAAGTTTTAACTTTTAAGTTGCATTGATTTATTACCTTTTTTGTTGTAGGACAAGGAAGATTTAAATAAATTGTGAAGGTAGACTGATATTGTTTGCTTATTTGATATCTTAATTGCCTACTTTTGATGAGATGCTGATGTCAGATTGCCAATCAGCATCTTTAAGACAGGTCAAGATGGCACTAGAAATCAAACTCAAACTCAAACTAGGTTTTCCTGGCCGGCTGACACCCAGACCAATATTTTATTTTGATTTAATGTGGGCGTCCTACTTCTGAGGCTGCCATATAATGTTTTATTGTTAAACACAGTTATGAAAATTTATTTTAAAGTTTAAATTTGATTATATTAATTATTTTCTTGTTCCCAGCCTAAAGTTTTTTCATGTAATTGTGTTGCAACAAATATGAACTCATTCCAATACCTAAACCAAGCTATCTTTTTGTTCATAATTGTAACATGTTTTGTGCGTACTTATAGTGATATAACAAGCATGTGCCTGATTTTTAACATATTGACCACATTGAATTGAAATAATGTTTATTTTGATGTGGCTGGAGGAAGAAATTGACAACTAAATATGCTTATCACTAATTATGTAGTCTTCTAAGTTCTACAAGTTGTGATTCTTCACAGTGATGACAATTGACAAGTAATGGAATTCACCTCCCACCTCTCACCTATATTGCCACCCTCACCAGGCCCCTGGGAAATAAGCAATAAATATTTCTCTAGCTTATTCGTTCAAATCCAACAATGGCATCTACTGACCCTCAATTGCCTGGAGACATTGTTGAGATTCGGACTGTTGCGATGACACCTGACAACAGAGCAAGTGATGGAACAGAAACCAGCACCAGTCCAGGATCAGCAAGATCCACCTCTTCATCTGGGATTGGCAGCAGTTCACCATCTTCTCCAGCAACTGCACCATCACCAGGTGTCTCTTCTGCACCGTCACCAGGTGTCCCATCAGCCTCACCACTGGTCCTGGTTGGTGCCCTGAGAGCTGAGCTGGAACCTCTGGGTTTCGAGTGCCATCCACTCCTCATTGGCTGGTACAATGAGCAGGTCAGCCCGGGCTTCCACCTCCCCCATCCGCACGACACTCTCGCCGTGGTCGTCATCAGCACCCCGGACATGTTCGAGCGCTGCTTCATACCGCACGTGCGCCGCGTCGGGCAGGAGCCCGCGTCGCGCCGCGATCCGCTCGACACGTGCATGCGCCACGTGATCGGTCAGGCGGCGAGGCACGTCCACGAGTCAGCACGTGTGCTCCACGACTTTGAGCTGGGCCCGACGCGCCGGCCGCGCGTGCTGGTGCAGACCGCTGGCCATGTGAGCGGCGCAGTGCGCCTGTACCGCCGCGGGGAGCTCAAGGAGGACCCGTGGCCCAAGAAGGGCGCCATGATGGGCGTCTGCCTGCACCCCAAGTTCGGAGGCTGGTTCGCGCTGCGTGCTGTCGTCGTACTGGAGGGAGTGGAGGCCCCCGACCTGGAGCAGCCACAGCCACCGTGAGTAGGATGATGTGGAAATTTTAAAATAGTTTTTCTTTTTGGAATTCTTTGGTGTACCCTTGTGAGGTGATCAAAGTTTGCACGTGACTGCTTCCGAGTTTCTGTTGCTGGCCATGCCTTTTTATTCTATTATCGTTTTAGATGCGACACTCAGTTGTTTCGATCTTTTTCATACTTTTGCTGATATAGCAACGAGTAAATAACAAGTGAAATGTATGTAAATTTCTAGATCCACCATTTGTTGCATTTTTATTCTTTTCTTTTTTTAGTCTCCCCTCCTTTTCTTTGTCGTCCCTTAAGAAAAGGTGCTCATTCGCTTGCATCCTCCGTCCCGTCATGCATAATTTTTAACGTCTCCCCGTGTGTTTTCCACAGGGAAATCCTGACCACGGACCAGCAGAAGCGCGAGGTCCTTGAGCAGTTCAACTGGCACTGGCGGGACGGGCGGTACCGAGAGTTTGGCTCTCCACAGCAGCGCTACTCGACTCTACAGAGGGAGTACTTCCTCACCCCGCCGGGAGAGAGGGGACCCATCGTGGAGAGAATCGCTCGGGGAGAACTGCCCTGTGGGAGTGGGGAGACGGTACCCGGGGATGGGAAGACCTCGGACGTAGGTGGGAAAGCGTAGGCTGGTGCTATTTAGAACACATTACAGGGTGCGTCATAAGTTCTGGTACACTTTTTCTTTTATCAATAAAAAGAGTTACAACAGGTTTACAGAGTTGAGTATTTCAGTAGAGGATCTCTATGAAGTTAACCCTCGCCCTGGCAGGGCATTTTTCATAACACGGCCTGGCAGGGGGGGGGTCGATGCGACCCCCCCCCCCTCGCGATTGGCTCCTATGGCACCTAGAAACACCAAATTTGGTAGGTAGGTGGGCCCCCTGGAGTTCTCGCCCCTGTGCAAATTTGGTTGCTCTAGGTCGATATTTAGGTGGGTTTTGGGGGGTATAAATGTAAAAATTTCGCTAAAAACAGGTCAAAAGTTTTTCGCTTATAACTTTTGATCTAATTGAGATAAAGCAAAAAGAGAAGCACCAGTGAACTCAGCACGTCAAGGCGCGTCGAATTATATACTTTTTAGCTGGCTTAAGTGTACTTAAAGTTTTTCTTAAATTTTAAGTAAACTTTAATTAATTGATTAAGTTTAAGTTAACCAAATTGCATCATATCGCATATCATTCGATTCGGCTGATCACCAGGAACACAATGGTACCATTTTTTAAGCTTTAGCGTCATTATGTGCCAAGTTATTAGCAAAAACGTCATTTGACCTCAGTTGACCTCATTTGACCTGACCCATGGATAAGTACACCAAACAAAGAAGCACCAAGTGACCTGCTGTTAAGTACTGTGGTTTGAAAGCACAAAAGTGATAGAACGAAGCGGATATCTCCAGTATTTTCCGAATTTAGTATTTTCCCATAGGCTTAACATTATGACGTATTGACCTCCAACTGACCTCAGGTCAGTGACATCCAAAAAACCGGAATATATGTTATACAACTTGGTGAACTTAGCACATCCTGAAAGTTTGAAGGAAATCGGTCCAAAACTGTGAGTTGGACAGGTGCATAAAGAAAGTTGAAATTTGACCATGACCTTGTACCGGTTTTTCTGACCTGGTGACCTGACCCAAGGTCACCCGGACCTGAAATTTTCAGGTCATGTGTAAAAAGGTTGCCCCATAGGCTGTGCCAAATTTGGCGGCGCTGCGCGCCGCCGTTTTTACGCTATCTTCGAAAAACCTTAGGGGGGGGGGTCGCATCGACCCCCCCCCCCCTGCCAGGGCGAGGGTTAAGTCAAAACACGTGTAATATCATGAAAAAATATTAACTAGCTGAGCCTTAATGAAACAAATGGTAACTGACCGCCCGACAGCTAAGTGCACACCATGGCGCCTTTCTCCCCATCAAAGGAAGTTCGCGGGGCCATCGTCTGCATGAAGATGGCGGATATCTCGGTAGCAAAGATATGTCGCACGCTTCGCTGCACGCGGAATCTTGTATATCGGACGTGGGCCCGGTACCAGGAGACCCAGAGTACCGGAGACCGATTCTGTTCCGGCCGCCCCCGGTTCGCCCGCACGCCTCAGCTGAAAGCCGCGGTTCGCAGCCGGATTGTCCGCAACCCCGAGTGTCCCATGCGCCAAATGACCCGGGACCTTAATGTGTCCGAGCGTTCCATACGGCAGACTCATTTCTAAGGATATGCGCGTGAAAAGCCTCCGCAAGAAGCACGTTCACTCCCTCAACGCTGCACAGCGCCACACACGGAAAGAAAACGCTCTCAAGCTCCTCCGGACCGGGGGCGGCCGGAACGGAATCGGTCTCCGGTACTCTGGGTCTCCTGGTACATACCGGGTCCACGTCCGATACACAAGATTCCGCGTGCAGCGAAGCGCGCGACATATCTTTGCTACCGAGATATCCGCCATCTTCATGCAGACGATGGCCCCGCGAGCTTCCTTTGTTGGGGAGAAAGGCGCCATGGTGTGCACTTAGCTGTCGGGCGGTCAGTTACCATTTGTTTCATTAAGGCTCAGCTAGTTAATATTTTTTCATGATATTACACGTGTTTTGACTTAACTTCATAGAGATCCTCTACTGAAATACTCAACTCTGTAAACCTGTTGTAACTCTTTTTATTAATAAAAGAAAAAGTGTACCAGAACTTATGACGCACCCTGTAGTGATGATGATGAATATAGTGTTGATGAATGTTATTGTTGAAAGATCGTGCAATGAACTATTTTGATAATTCTGAGAGGTGCTTGCTAATCGTGCATGTTCAGTAATATGTGGAGATGTTTTGCTCTAGGCTTCCTGCCTGAAAAAAGGTTATTTGATGTTCACGATTATCGTTGATCAATTATTATACGCCCTAGAGGCCAGGCGTATGATCGAAACGGGTGTCGAGTGCCAGTGGTGAACATAGGTGTGACGTAAAAACGTCAATTTTGAAGTAACATTTGTGGAGACACGGTTTGTCCATGTGCAATTTTATATAGTCGTTTGTTCGAAGTGTTTTTGTTGCCAATCCACCTTTGCATGTCCCGTTGGTTTACCATTTAACGGGTACCAGCGGGTATCACTGGTTGCAGGTTCCGGCGCTGTGTTGTGCTGTCATGGGTGTCTGATTGGTTTTGAATGCTTTGTTGTGAAGTGGTTTGATATTAGGGAACGTGTGCAATGACTTCTTGTTGATTTTTTAGTATTTGCTTATATTGTAGGTACTGTACATTGGAAACGATCCCTGACCACTAAATTTTGCCACCAGAATGGATGGACTTTACTGTGTCCTGGAAGGAGCTTATGTCGGCACTTTGTCGTTCTTTATGTTAGTTGAAAAATTGTGACCTAGGTTTGCGGACAAATTAAGATGTTGCGGCTAGTGTAGCGTGTGACAATAATGCTAGAACACGGACGTATAAATAAACTGGACTGACGATCCCAATGGACCTCCTATGGAAGATAGTGAAGCCGACAAGGCGCCATTTTACGTTGCCAAAAACCCGTGCTCTGAAAGGTCATCGAGCCAATACAATTGGAATTGCGTCTAAACGGATGATCGGATCGAGATGCTGGTGGTACCGTTCGACGGGTAATGCTATGAGGCAGGTGATGATGCATGTCACAGGTCATTCGGTGTCACGTGGCGCGTGCCACGTGCCGACAAAGTCAGGAAGGGCAAAAACCTTTAAGCGACGCTCCAAATTAAACGGTGGGCGGCACAGGTGCCAAATTCACAGGTCACATGTCCCGGTGTTTGACCATTAACATATAGTATGTTCGGCAGCAGGGGGTGCGGAATGCACGCGCCAGGGGCGAAAAACATGTTTTGAGGAGGCATTCTCCGATTCCGGAAAACCTTGACCTAGGCACACCAAATTTGGCACACTGACACGACTGGACGAGCGCTTTAAGGCGCTGTGCAAATAGATGTGCTGGGGTACACGGTGCACGTGCTGTGCACGTGCAAACCTTTTGATGTTGCACTCTGTGTCACATATACGGGCAGAGCGGGTAGCGCTAGCAAGCTCAAAGTGCCAAATTTACACAGGCCACCCAGAATGTATTCCCGCATAGTTATTGAGCATATCCATCTCCTGGAAGACCCCGAAGGTGCGCTCTGCACGTGCAAAAATTATCCACGCCGGGCGGTGGGGGTGCTTGGACACCCCATGTAGGTTTATGTAAATATCTCGAAAACGGCGTTGTGGAGCGCCGCCGTTTTTAGCACACCCTTTCATGCATCTTTTTCACACATGCTGCATAACTTTCAGACCCAGGTCACTCAAGGCTAGGTCACCAGGTTACGTCCAAGTGGCCTTACCTTAGGAAAAGTTATAATGCCCGTCATAGCTACAAAGACTGAACAATCGGTCTAAAACGTTGGCAGCGATCACTAAGAGCACCATATATACGTAATGTACCTCTACCTCGGTATTTCACTGTCACTGAACTAGGGTTCTGTTGATTTTGCGACCTTTCTATTATAGGTAAGTCAATGGGAGACAATTGAACTGCGCTTCTGTTGCACGAAACTCATATTAACATACTAAACAATGCACTCAAATAACGGGACACGGGTAGCAGGGAAACGTGACATATTTAATCGGGAAATTGCACCTGTGACCTCTACTTATGTCCTGGGGTTATTTCAGGTCATGACAGCCCTCCACAACATTTTGATAGTGACCTTTGGTAGAGACATGCAAGAGCGCTGAAAACACTATTGATATGTTTAGTTCAACTTCGTAAATTGAGGTTGTTGTGAGTTCTACGGGTCATTTATCAGGAATGTCATGTTTGTTTTGATCACAGCTGATGTTTTCATGCATTAAGGCCAGGTCGGGTCAGGTCAGGTCAGGTGTAGGTGTCCTGTCGCTTATTCATAGTAGGTGTCAGCTGTCAACCACCACTGATGGCGTCCTAACATGTTACGAAGGCAATGAAACTATAACTTCTTAAATGTTAAACTGAATGTTAAATTCGAAATCAGCCCCAAAAACTGTCCTAGAAACATGTAAAACTCGAAAAGGTGAACCAAGGTCATTAAAGGTCAGTGACCTTGACCTAATTTTCACGTGACCTTGACAACCACCATATTGCATGTGACCAGCATCATATCACATGTTTGAACGCTTGAAACCACGAAAAGACAGCAAACGCGCGGCTAGTGCGCACCGACGTACGCCGAATCGCGATCCCGGCCAAACATGGTCTCGCAATAATATCTTAATATCAGATGCTCATTTACCGCTACTCAGTCAAATTAGAGTGACCATTTCTTGGCCGCGGTCACCGGTCCAGGCCACCACATAATCGTACCTATTACATCGTGCTTGCTCAATGCTCAGTTCGTATTGTAAAAGCACTGCGGCACAGCATAGATGCAGGCGCTCTGCTACTGCCATCTATGGGTGAAAGATGAAGACAATGGTTATTGCGGTACAGTATCACTACAGGCGCCGATAATGCTTTATAATTGTACTTTTTGTGTTAAGACTGCAAGAGCTTTTGCCTTTTGCGCTACCTAATTTTTTTGTCATTTTTTCATTTTTATGTTGGTAAATGAAGCGCAGTTCAATTATCTCCCATTGACTTACCTATAATAGAAAGGTCGCAGAATCAACAGAACCCTAGGTCAGTGACAGTGAACTACCGAGGTAGAGGTACCTACTTTACGTATATATGGTGCTCTTAGTAATCGCTGCCAACGTTTTAGACCGATTGTTCAGTCTTTGTAGCTATGACGGGCATTATAACTTTTCCTAAGGTAAGGCCACTTGGACGTAACCTGGTGACCTAGCCTTGAGTGACCTGGGTCTGAAAGTTATGCAGCATGTGTGAAAAAGATGCATGAAAGGGTGTGCTAAAAACGGCGGCGCTCCACAACGCCGTTTTCGAGATATTTACATAAACCTACATGGGGTGTCCAAGCATCCCCACCGCCCGGCGTGGATAATTTTGCACGTGCAGAGCGCACCTTCGGGGTCCACCAGGAGATGGATATGCTCAATAACTATGCGGGAATACATTCTGGGTGACCTGTGTAAATTTGGCACTTTGAGCTTGCTAGCGCTACCCGCTCTGCCCGTATATGTGACACAGAGTGCAACATCTAAAGGTTTGCACGTGCACAGCACGTGCACCGTGTACCCCAGCACATCTATTTGCACAGCGCCTTAAAGCGCTCGTCCAGTCGTGTCAGTGTGCCAAATTTGGTGTGCCTAGGTCAAGGTTTTCCGGAATCGGAGGATGCCTCCTCAAAACATGTTTTTCGCCCCTGGCGCGTGCATTCCGCACCCCCTGCTGCCGAGCATACCATATGTTGATGGTCAAACATCGGGACATGTGACCTGTGAATTTGGCACCTGTGCCGCCCACCGTTTAATTTGGAGCGTCGCTTAAAGGTTTTTGCCCTTCCTGACTTTGTCGGCACGTGGCACGCGCCACGTGACACCGAATGACCTGTGACATGCATCATCACCTGCCTCAAAGCATTACCCGTCGAACGGTACCACCAGCATCTCGATCCGATCATCCGTTTAGACGCAATTCGAATTGTATTGGCTCGATGACCTTTCAGAGCACGGGTTTTTGGCAACGTAAAATGGCGCCGTGTCGGCTTCACCTGAATGGAGGTGGTTGTGGGTCCAGTTTATTTATACGTCCGTGTGCTAGAATCGTCTGTGATCCATTGTTCTAGCCATCGGCGCTGTTTCGAACGATTCACCGTTTGCGTGAGGTTCGAGCGTATTTTTATACACTGTACGAGGAACAAACTTGACGAATACATGCGTAGGCTGAGATTGAGCCCTTAGTGTTTGCTGTTGTTACCATGATTATCGATTTTCACCTTCAAACTTTTTTTTTTCCAAAGGGGTGGGTAGATCTGGGTTGCGATGGTGTTGGAACGTGTTATGTTTATATTTCTAGCTACTGTACACTATAGTTCGTTTTTTTTTTTTCAAAAGGACTCTGGCTCCAAGTATGTTTTTCGAAAAAGCACGCGTTTTAGCGAGCAAAACGAGCAAAAACTGAACTTGAAAAACTCGAACGTCGCCTTATTTTAACATGTAAATTATTCCCGATAATTTCCATATGTGCGTTTTGGAACCAGGTTTGAGAACAGTGGTGACGTCATGCTGTCTAACTTGTTTTGCAATGTAGCGTATAACTATCATGGACGAAACCGCTTACTCGATTATAACCTCAGCAACAGTGAAAAACGAAGTCCTTTTGAAAAAAAAACGAACTATAACAATAAGTGATAAGCGTGTTAGATTTGACACTTCATTCTGAATTCCGATATCTATCAAGCAAAACCAAGGCTCATACAAGACTATGTTCCGCTTTCAGCTCGGACTCTTGGACATTGTGAATCTGCGTCAAGACCCGCAGAATCCACTGCTGTGCAGCAATGGACGCCCGGAGGTGAAAACACCCGCCATCAAGACGCCGATACATTGCATCGCAGGGCCGGAACCAGTGGACTGGGCCTGTGCGGCAGAAATTGGCTGGTAACCGCAAGCTGAAAAGACAAACCTGTTCTTCCAGTACTCGACCTTGACTCACCAGCAGCTAATTTGCAACAGGTGGTGTTTATAAATTCACTCTAACCGTGATTGATTTCTCTTCGACAATCTGTCGGCTAACTGCGGTCCAATGGCCGACCCAGACGAAGACGTCACTGCCGCTGCCATTCCCTCCCAGACGGAGCTCACAGCCGACACAGCCGGACGATCTATCTCCACGGCGACCGTCCCGCCTCCCTTCACTCCTCCAGCAGGGTTCCCTGACCTCATCGCCACCGCGTGCTACGACCAATTCTCTCGCCTGCCCCGCCGCGCGCGACCGCAAGCGAGTCGCGAGTGGGCCCTTCTGGCTGGATTCCTTCTCTCCTCGCCTCCACACACCCAGCCGGTGGTGGTGGCTTTGGGAACCGGCAGCAAGTGCCTGGGCGCCAGCCAGCTGAGCGCTACAGGGGAGAAGTTGGCGGATTCGCACGCAGAAGTGGTGGCTCGGCGAGCGTTCCGGCGGTTTCTGATGGCTGAGGTGCGACGGGCGGTGGTGGGTGGCGGTGAAAGTCAGTGGCTTGAGAAGGAAGAGAGTGGACGATGTGTCAGGCTGAAGGAAGGAGTGAGGGTGCATTTCTTCACGAGTCATACGCCATGTGGAGACTGCTCGATCTTCCCTCGGAAAAATGAGACGGAGTATGACGCAGGAGATGAACGTGCAATGAAGAAACAACGATGTGAAGAAGAACATGAGCCTAAGCGAATCGCCTTAGAAGATGGAGAAGCTGTCATGGACAGCCTTCCTTCAGCAGAGAACCTCAACACATCTGTCTCTGACGCCAGTGACATCTATCGCACGGGTGCCAAACCAGTAGTTGGTGAGACGGCCGACCCTCTTCAGCCGGGCGCTGGGTACCACGTGACGGGCGTGCTGCGGACCAAGCCCGGCCGCGGAGAGCGCACCCTGTCCATGTCGTGCAGCGACAAACTGGCCCGCTGGCTGCGGCTGGGCCTGCAGGGCGCTCTGCTGAGCTGCTGGCTGCCGCAGCCACTGACTCTGAGCTCGGTGGTCACGGGTCCGTGCCCGTACAGTGAGGCGGCGATGCGCCGGGCGCTGCTCGGTAGACCAGGGCTGATTGTGGAGCCAGTGCTGGCGCAGGCTGGAAAGGAGTTTGAGTTCAGTCGGACGCTGGTGGAGGGAAGTGCCGCGGAGGGAGTGAAGGTTGTGCCGTCCCCGTGCGCTGTGACGTGGAGCAGGGGATGTACCCGCGAGTTCGAGGTTTCCGTGGAGGGAATACGACAGGGTGTCACCAAAAAGGCTCGCGGTACGCCGGCGGCTCGCGTGGCCATCTGTCGGCGAGAGGTGATGCAGGAGTTCGTGGAACTGGCGAAAGATGTCGCCCTAGAGCAGCTCCCGGCCTGCCTGAGGGATGAGGTTAGTAATTTGGAGAAAATGAGTTACAGGGAGGTGAAGTGTTTGGCTGAACACTACACAAATCGATGGCGGAATGTGAAAAATGATGCGTTCGGAAATTGGACGGTGAAACCCTCGCACCTAATTGAGTTTCGTGTGGTGGATGGAGCTGACCGTTCGGGTGATAGCTGAGGTTCTAGGGAGCAGCCTTGTCTCAGTTTGACGTCTAAGTGACAAAGTGTTTTGAAGTAATTTCAGAGTGGCAAACGGTGCTATGTAAAGTTTGATAGGCATGTTTCATATTGTGATAATGGATTCCTGGCTGCATGGAATGTGGATGGTTTGTGCTGTGTGCCTGGGCATGCTCTGGTGGGATTGGGCCCCTGCATGGCGCTGCATGTGACGAGCGCTTGTGCATGTCTGCAGCTACTGATTTGGGGTCCCTGTTTCCAGGATAGCTTGAGCGTGCTGGGCTGCTAAGTAAATACAGTTCTTAGAAGAAGAGGTCTTTACTACATTGGTGGCAGCAAGAGCAGCCCAGCGGAACCCTTCGCCTTCGCCATGGTGAACGAAGACAACAAGGAGATCAGTGGGGTGAAGGAGATGATGAAAGATGACGCAGATGGGCCAAAGAGTGAACAGCGTGGTGCTGTGTCAATGGCCCCGCCAATTGTGAGTATGGCTGGTGTCCGTCCAGATCGGTACGATGGTCTCGGGGACTGTGGACGTTTTTTGGACCACTTTAACATAGTTGCCAGGGCCAATGGATGGACAGATGAGGTGAAAGCCATGCAACTCCCTGCATATCTGTCAGGGGCGGCATTTGATTTCTTTCGGCGGCTACCAGATGCACACACGTTGAAGTTTTCTAGATTGGAGCAATTGTTGCTGGAAGAGTTTGCTGCGACTGGCGTTCCAACAGAATGTGCCAGGTCCCTTGCTACTCTAAAAAAGCAGCCAGAGGAAACAATCAGCTGTTTCAGTGACAGGGTACAAGAGGCAGTGAAGAGATCTTACCCAAATCAAGGCCTGCTGCGGCGGGCGGCCAGACCGGCCACACCGGCCTGCCGCCGACGACTAGGGACACCTTCGGTGGGAGACCGTCTGCTGCGGCGATCGGTCCGCCTGTGGCACCGAGTGGACCTGTGCACGGGGAGGTGATTCGTGGACTTCCGTCGGGGCGGCTTTCCGAGGCGGAGCGTGGTGACCTGGTGGGTCTTCGGGTGAGTACAGCGACAGTGTCCGCTTCTTCGCCCCCGTCGTTCACTTTTGCGAGATGTGAACAGCCTCTAGTTGCCGAACCTGAGGACCGAGCGCCGGACTCAGTGAAGGATGCTCGTGATGGGTTGGTGGAAGAGCGGGTACATACCTCTGTGTCAGGGTCTGGCTCTAAAGCGGCGGGTGGAATCGCTCGTGTCATTGGGCTCAGGTCCTCGGCTGGGGCAGCAGGTGGCTGCCGGAGTGCGACGGCGGGATATGTGCCCTCTCAGACTGTCTCCGGTTCTTCGGGGTTGGGTTCAGTGGCTTGTAGCGGGGGACGGTCGGTTGGGGCACGAGCGGTGTGCGGCAGGGGAATTCTTCGTGTAGTGGGACTAAATTCATCAGTTGGCATGTGTGGGAATGAGTCCGACACGGCAGTGAAAGCGGGGACTGACTGCGAGATTTTTGTTACTGGCGCTCTGGCCCACAAATCGGTACAGTGGCTGCTGGACACGGGTGCTCAGTGCACCGTCGTGTCGGAGGATGTTGTGAGGGACCTAGATCTCGCGGAGGTGGTGCCAGAGCGCTCTCCGGTAACCGTGGACGGGAGTGCGATGCCGTTGGTAAAAGTGGTGTCATGCGACGTGACAGTGGGTGGAAAGACTGTGCGTGACCACCCCATCTATGTCGTTAGGAACTTAGACCCTCACTGCCTGTTAGGTATGGATGTGTTAGAGCGTATGGGATCACACGTGTCGATTGACTTGCGAAAAAAGGTTGCAACCGTGCGGCGTTGTCAAGTTTTGGCTGATGCTGGTCGTGTCAAAATGTCTCATTCGGTGTGCATTCCTCCTAAACATGAAGCCGTTCTATTGTGCTGTGTCCCCGATACGGTCGCAGTTGGAGATACTGTGGTAACTGAACACTCACCAGTGCTGTCAGATAAGTTTGGGATCATGTCGGCTGCCGGTGTCGCAGTGGTGGGTGAGTCACGCACTATACCCGTTAGAGTGGTGAACCCATCAGAGCGAGGAATCCTTCTTCCCGCTCAAACAGAGGTTGCGATGATAGCAGAGAACGCTGCGCTACGTGAGGTGGATCACATTACGAGTAAGGAGGAGGCTAAAGTCAGGCTCCTGGGAGTCGATGATACTGCTGTCACTGCTTGGGTAGAGAGGATGGTGAGCAAATCTGATTTAGTGAGTGACGCAGACAAAAATGTGTTTAGAGACTTGTTGCTAAAGAATGTTCACGCTTTTTCACTGAACGGGGAGCTGGGACAATGTAATCTGGTGACACACTCGATTCCTCTGAAGGAGTCCGCTCGTCCGCTTACTCAGCCACCCAGACGGCTTTCCTACCACCAGCGCGGAGGGGTGGAAACTGCTGTGAGGGACATGTGGCAACAGGGGGTAATAAGACCCAGCTCTTCGCCGTGGTCTTCTCCCATCGTGCCCGTTGTTAAGAAGGATGGGTCACTAAGGCTTTGTGTGGACTATAGACGGCTGAATGATGTGACTCACGGAGACGCCCACCCAATCCCGCGGGTGGATGACTGCTTGGACTCTCTTTCTGGCGCGGTGTGGTTCCACACGTTAGATTTGCGATCCGGGTACTGGCAACAGGGGTTAGAGGAAGGGGACAAGGAGAAGACTGCCTTCTCCACTCACTTGGGGCTGTTTGAATTTAACAGGATGCCGTTCGGGCTGAAAGGGGCACCTGCTTCATTTCAGCGCCTGATGATGGCCGTGTTGGCCGGTCTCACGTGGAGAGAGTGCCTAGTTTATTTAGACGATATAGTGGTCTTTGGGAAGTCTTTCGGTGAGTCTCTGCAGCGTCTTGAGCATGTCCTCGAGGCGATAAGCGATAGCGGTCTTAAGCTTCACCCAGAGAAGTGTGTTATGTTTAAACGGGAAGTCAAATTTTTGGGGCATGTGATCAACGAAGGAGGAATAAGTACAGACCCAGAAAAGGTTAGGGTAGTGCAGGAGTATCCCCGTCCAGCCAGTGTCCATGAGGTCAGACAGTTCGTGGGACTTGCCAGCTACTTCCGTAAGTTTATTCCGTCTTTTTCGGAGGTAGCAAAGCCCTTATTGAGGCTGACAGAGGCGAAGGCACGCTTTCAATGGGACGATTCTTGCGAAGAGTCGTTCCTCGCGTTGAAGGGCTTTCTTATGAGTGCTCCGGTGCTCGCCTTTCCAGATTTCCAAAAGGATTTTGTTCTTACAACAGACGCCAGCACTGTCGGCATAGGAGCTGTGCTGAGTCAGCGGGTGGACGGGCTGGAGCGACCCGTGGCCTACGCTAGCAGGTGCCTGTCAAAGGCCGAGATGTCATACAGTGTGACTGAGAGGGAATGTTTGGCAGTTGTTTGGGCGGTCCGCCACTTCTCAGTTTATCTCCAAGGGAGATCATTTACGCTTATTACCGATCACTGTCCACTTACCTATCTCCGATCCTGCAAGGATCCTCGAGGGCGACTGGCTCGGTGGATCTTGGAACTGGAACAGTACTCGTATACCATGGTGTACAAAGCTGGACGGAAGATAAGCCATGCTGATGCTCTGTCTCGGGCCGTTCGTGAGGTACACTTACGCTCAGATACGCAGGACTTGTTGCGTCTCCAGATGTCAGACGCTGACTTCTTGATGATCGCATCGTGTCTGGCGAGCGGTGTCCCGTGTCCATCGGACGCCTCCTCGGTGGTAAAGTTCTATCTGAGTCGCCGTGACTCGTTGGAGGTTGATCGGGGGACGGGACTTCTGTTCACGACGCACGAGGGCCATCGCCAGTTGTTGGTGCCTCCGGCGGGTGTCCGCCAGGTGCTGCATGAGAGTCATGACACACCGTGTTCGGGACACTTGGGCATCGACAAGACGTTGTCCCGTCTTAGGGATCGGTTTCATTGGCCATCCATGGCTCGGGATGTCGCGACGTACGTGAAGTCGTGCGTTCCATGTAGCCAGAGAAAGAGTCCGGCACCTCAACCCCGGGCGTCTTTTGGCAAGATGCCCGTGCCAAGTGGTCCCTGGCAGTGGGTGTCAGTCGATGTGACCGGACCTTTCCCTGTGACTGCGGATGGCAATCGATACATCCTGGTGGTGACATGTGGGTTCTCGAAGTGGGTGGAGGCGTTTTCTATGCCAAACCAGGAGGCTGGTACGGTGGCACGTATTCTGGTTGACCGCCTCTTCTGTATTCTGGTTTCTGGTTTCTGTATTCTGGTTTCTGGCTGCCCAGAAACCATTCATTCTGACCAAGGTCGGAACTTCGAATCTCGCTTGTTTCAGGAAGTGTGCAAACACATGGGTATTTCAAAAACAAGGACCTCGGCTTACCATCCCCAGGGGAATGGCCAGGTTGAAAGATTCAACCGTACAGTATATCTAAAAAGTATGTCCCCTGGTTTGGCTCTCCCACAGGAGGCGAATCGGTAACTTGGCTGAATCCCAGTTGCGGCACCCGGCCGCCAGGGTCGCTGCCGCGCGAGCGGCCTTGACCGCTCGCATGACATTGGCAGTTCGGTCCCTCCCCATCTATACCGAGGTGGGGAGGGGAGAAGAGGGGAAGAGAGGGGAGGGAGCGGCTTTCGCTCGGCACTGGGCGATACCTGGCTGACCCCGCGCTCCCTCGCTGACCTTTGTCCTGCCCTCAGGCGAAGACCGACTTCCTGGCCTGTAGCGGCCCAGCGGAAAACCGAGCTCGCGGGGCGCAACTCCATTGGCCCAATCTTATAAATGGAATGCTGTCGTATTCACGGCATTAGATAATATTAATAGTGATACCAGCAGTGGATGTGGTAAAATACAGTCCAAAATAAACGAAAGCACACGATTCGTGCATAATGCGCCCTCCATCTCAAATAAGCCCGCCCACTTCGATAGATGGTGTAGTTTCTTGGGGCGTAAAAGATGCAAAACACTTCCGATTTTTTTTTTTAGCTCGGCCACTGGGACCGACAATATACAATTGACTGAAATGCATGAAAACCATTTTGCATTTAGGTAATAGCCGTTTTCTGCACCCAAACTTTAGCCAGTGACACCCTGTCCATTCTAAAGCGTTTATAAGATTGGTCCCAGCACCCGATTTTATATGAGGAAGTCGTTTAAAAAGCATCTTATTTCTAACGAATTTATTATTATGGCCACTTTTACAGGACGTCTATACTTAGAGCTTTGACTTTCACATTTCTTCCTCGTTCAGGAGAAACGTTTTAACCCTCACCGGACCTTCAGGTTTTTTGAATACCGAGGGGACGTTGGGGGTTGGAAGTGAGG